CTAGCTCTTGAGGCCGATGTCACCGGTTCGAATCTGTGCTTGTATGGAGGAGGTCTTAGGCCCAGATGTACGGATCCATAATTAAAAGCAGAATTCTGACTGAGTGACCCCGAGTGAGCACACTGATCATCGCTAGCTTAGACCCCGCATCAACGAGTACCTCTGCTGCTCTCCAGCACCGACCCTTCTGGCGAACCCTGAGCACTCCTCAGTGAGCCCAGTTGTCATTGCTAGCACATACCCTCACATAAACGAGTGCCTTCAGTCTCCAGCACCGATCCTGCTGATGAACTCTGAGAGCCCCAACGCGAGCTCACTTTCCCCCACATAAACAAGCGCCTTGCTGCTCTTGTGAGTACTGATCCTGCTGATGAACTCTAACTGAGCACCCCTGAGCACGCACACTTTGATAGCGCAGACCCCCATCATGGTCGTACGGTCGTACGGGAGTACGGACGGGCCGTCCCCGTACTAGGTGACGACCCGTACTAGGTGACGGCACTGGCCCCATGTAAATGAGAGCCTTTGGTGCTCTTGACCACCTAATATCCTGCTGGTGAATTCTGAGTCTCTGGCTGAGCACTCCTTAGCATATTTGTCCGCCTCCCCCTGGCCTATCTTTCCCCTCAATTTGTCATATATCCCCAACATCCGCCCTGGTCGCTGAGCCCCTCCTGGTGCTTCCCCGGATCCTTGTCGTTCTCTAACGCCGCTGTATCAATCACTGGGCTTGTCAGTGAGTCCATGTCCCTTGCTGCCTCAGCCATGGCGTCAAGAATGCTTGTGCACGCTCCCACGAAGACCCAGCGAGCAGGCGCAAGAAGCACGCATGCGTGGACCCCTTAAACCACCAGTACACGACCATACATCGGCCGTGGGTCCCTCACTGTTGACTTCGAAGGATGGAAATGCGACAAACGCCATTGATGAAATTTATCAACAGCGGCCCCACCCCGAAAGTTGCGGTGATGGGGACGAGTTCATTGTCTGCAAGGCTGGGCCCATGTACAGGTGGTTTAAATGCCAGGGCTCCTTTGTCCTTCTCTTCCCTTTCCTCTTTGCTCTTGTGATCTGTACATCCAATCGGAATCCAGGAATGACCAAATCTCATTCCTGGCCTTTTTCTGGCACAAAAGCCCTGTTCAGAATTCTCCAGTCTGTGAGGTTCACCCGGTTTTCAGCTGGCGCCGCATGCACTTCCCCCCAGTTACTATTTGGATTTTCAGCCTACCATACGGCCCGATCACCTTCCCAGCCCAACTGTTTCAGCTGTCAAACCCCTCACCTACTATGACCATTACTCCATCCTCCATTGCGGCACGGCTAGCCCCAAAGGCCCCACACCCCATCACTTTCCGCCTGCCCTAAGCCTCCGCTCGGTTGATATAACCTGGTAGGCTGGTAGCCCACTACTATCATCAGGTTAGCCTTCCCGGCACTCCCGAGGATGAAGACCAAATGTTCATGTCAATATAGGTCCACACATGACCTGGAGGCCGGCACCCACAATCAGAGGGCCCAAGGGAGGGCTACTCTGGCCGATTAAGCCATAGCCCTGTTTCTGATGCTGAAACTCTTGTGGCCGCCACCTCGCCTTTTTTTTTTTTTTTTTTTTTCCTTCGGCACAGGCCCAAATAGTCCCTCGTCGAAATGTCTGAATCCCAAATGTCAAGTCTGGATCAAATGTCGTCAAGTCTCAAGTCACAACTCTGTCTCTCTCTGCCATAGTCTGAGAAGTCAGGTGGTGAGAGGGTGAGAAGAGATGGTGGACTTAGCCACCTAGCCTTAGCCAGCGAACACTCAGGAAATTGTGGCCACGCAGCACCCTCTTGTCAATGCAAGGGCCCATTGAAAGCTCCTCTTCACCCACCCTTCCTCTCATCTCGTTTCTTCCACTGGTCCTCTCGCGGATTCGTTCCTGACCCACACAAACCCTTCGTCACACCATCATTGGGACCGATTCCCCCCTTTGTTGCCATTCGCACGTCCCCCTCAGCCCCCCATGTCACTCCCTTAGCTCACGCCTCTCCCCGTCAACCCCCATTTATACACACACCTCAGTGACATGCAGTCCAAGTCAAACAAACAAACCACCAAGCAGAACCATACTCACACCAAGCAGACAAACGGAAGAAAATGTGTGTATGCTGCACTTTGAAGTTGGACAAACCGGCGGACAGCGGTCACACTCCAAGACAGGGTCCTTACCAAACCTATCCAAGCACAAATGTGACAGTGTTTCGAGGAGACGGTCCAGGTATGAGTATATCCTTAAAAAAAAAAAAAAAAAAAAAAAAAAAAAAAGACCACGTCCCGGTGTCCATTGACAGCCCAGAGTGAGGTACATATCCGAAATCATGTTCTTTCTCAAAGACAATCAACTCGTACAACCAGGCACACTGAGCCCGTTGTGATGCTTCCCACTGCACGTTCATGCGTCGTCCACTCCTGCCTTGCTGAGCAGCTGAAGCACTCACCTCAGCTGATCAGTTCCTCGTGTCCCACTGCAGTTGCCAGCTCTAGCCCTCCACGCCCATCACTGCCAACTTCTCTACTTTGAGATGTCCTCGCTCTTCACTTTATTGAAAAAATGTGCGTACACATGCATCATTTTATACAAAGCAAAAAACTAGAAACTTTCGATAACGGTTACCAAAGTTCAGCCTACCCACCAATAGATGGAGCCCTTGCAGGGAGGGTACTACTGGGGGATGCTCGTACCACCGGCAGCTGTAACCCCCAGCATTTTTTTTCCAAAAGAAGAGGTTCAGCCTTACATGTTTACGAGATCCAGAACTCAACATAACAACACGTATACACTAAATTATGTGTACATGTAATATACACATTTGTATGCATGATGTCCAGACATGCTCGTCAAGCATATAGTATATACACTTGATCACGTCCACCAGTCCCCGCCCCACGGACCCCTGCCGCATTCTCAACTCCCATGTCACGGTGTTCCCCTGGAGGAGGGGGTGATGTTAAGTTATGGGAGGTTCTTTCTCTAAAACTTGACGTGAGTGAAAAGTTGTACATACTCATGCATACTTTTATGTATGGGAAAACTACAAAAAACATTCAAGAGTGCAAAGAACCAAGGCTTGCATTTATGAGTTTGTTTTGCGCATTCTTATGTACATCTCTACCCTTATATTTCCTTAAACAGATTTCCCCTTGACAATCAAGTTTACCAGTCTGCTGAAAGGAGATTGACGCCCATGAAGTCTGCTGTCCACTCCAAGATTCTTCCTTCTCCTTGCCATAGCCAAAGGAGAAGGGAGGGAAGAGCATCACATCCACTCCTCCCCCATCATTCTGTAAGCAGATGAGCCAGTCACCCTCCCGAATGACTGGTTATATTTCTTAAAGGTGGGTGGACTGTGGACCATCCACCCCCCACCAGCACCTACTTCCATTAACTGAAAACCTCCACAAGCGCGTTCACCACCTGACATGCTAGCATTCAGTACCTGTCATTGGAGCAAACACACCGCTGGCCATCGCTGCCGAGGCAGAGGCTGCAGCTTCAGCAGGAAGCTCCACCTCACGCCTGCCAAACGTATGTTCAGATCTCCATCCAAGCGAGGCTGCGTGTATGCACATCACAGATTGAGCCTGCATGCTGGCTCATATCCTAGTAAAAGTGGCGCTACTACAGCTCCGTACTGGCCTCACGTCTGCCAAACGTATGTTCAGATCTCAATAGAAGCGTGCATGTGTGTATGGACATCACAAATTGACACGAACTAAGCATGGCTGCACCAGCCTGCATGCTGTTTCTCATCGTGGTGAAAGTGGCACTACTGCAGCTCAGTACTGGCCTAGCATGTGCCCGGTAGCTTCATGTTGGGCCGAAGTGTCTGCGCCTGGGCCTGCAGAAGTTAAGCTGCCCAACTGTGCGACGTGGCTGCTTTCACTCGCTGCGTCCTCATTGGCTCACAGGCCACTTGCCACGTCGCTGCGTGGATGTCCATTGGTCGAGAGTCTCTGGCCGCGTCGCATACTGGGTGAGCCCAGAGGCCCAGCACGTTGCGCTCAACTGCCGTGGCCTTGTAACCAACTGTGTAATCCGATTACAAGACTCGAACACACAACCAACGGCTCGGCAGGCAAACACCTAACCATAAGGCTAAGTGGGCTGGCCAGGGGTGAAAGTGAAGCCCCAACATGAGCACTTCACCCCACCCCAGCACAGACATCCTGCGACACGGTGTACCCAACCGGCCCGTGGAAACTGTCTGGCGCGCCACCATCCAGAAAAGACAAAAATAAGGCCTCATCAGGCCCTCATGTCAAAATGCAGGCCCGCCTTCACTTAGGGCGGGCACGAGGCTTGCTGGGCCCCCTAGTGCAGTTGGGTGCCGAGGCCAAGAAGCTACTTCGAGAGCTCAATCCTTGCAACGGGCTGAAAGTTACCCCAAATACAGCTATGACAACTTCGCCGACAAGGCATTGTATTCGGGTGAAGACGGTAGTAAAGATCACTACTCGCCTTTTATTCCTCCACAACAGTGAATGATGTTGCACGGGCGGCCTCCACGTTGACAGGTAGATGTCTTTGCCAAAGCAATGGCTCGAGAATGGAATAGGGATGAACACCTCAGACATGCGTAAACCAGTTCGGGTTCTGCTAAAACAACCATTACGACCGCATTTAAGATTGCAATGGTATTTCACCTGCCATGTTCCGTTGGCTGACGTCAAGAAGTCTAATCAGCAAAACTATGGCGCATGGTGGGATGCAGAACTTCAGCAGAAGGCACCTCAATGGATGAATGGTGGTGTAGCTGCAAATGACATGTGGAGGGTCAAGTGTGGCTGACAGCATGACTAGTACGGGTGAGACAAGCCATTCAAGAAGTGCCACCTGCTCACCAATCAGACTGGAAATGCACCCTGCTTTTCCATCTACATGAGGTTTAATACCTGTGCAATGACCGGTACAAATGATGACGAGCCTCCTTCAATGCCTATAACTGTCCACATTCTTCTGACAATCCTTGCATGTCTTACAAGCTATAGGCCTTCTTCCGATCTTATGTACCTTATTCACCATGAAGTTCATGAGTGATCAGACATTGCCCAGGTGGTCCGGGAGGAACAGAGATTGATCGATGCTTCCAAAATCTCCTCCCTGTTCCGTATCCTGCCCCGTGTTCGGGGCTGGTAGCCCACAAGCAATCCTCTCCAGTGTCTCGAGAATTACCTCCTTCTGTGGTCGATATCTTTTATCTAAACTCGCACAGCGCTGCACCAGTTCGATCACTTCTCGGACCAACTCAACATCCCACACTCCCGCGTTCGGGTCTAAAACATTCCTCAGAGCAGCCTCATCGCTTAAATCTACGTTCTCAAACACTTCTTCATCTGACTCTGATGCACTCTGCGATTTCCCTGTCAGCATGTCCAGGACAGTTACCCCGAATGCGTAGATGTCCGTCTTCTCAGTGAAAACACGAACCCTGAGGTACTCCGGGGCAATGTACCGCCCACCACTTTCCAGCTGCAAGCAAAGTTCTGGCCTTTGATTGGCTGCAGCCAGTTTTTCACGCAGCAAAGCACAGTCCACACCACTGAGCTTGCCCACAAAGTTGTCGTCCAGAAGGATGTTAGCAGGCTTGATGGCACCGTGGATTATAGGCTCAGGATTACCTTCCCTTGATGTGTTCGAGTGAAGGAAAAAAAGCGCTTCTGCAACCTCTCGCATAGCCTGCAAGCGAGCATACCAAGGCATGCATCGTCTGCCTGAAGATCGTCCACACGAGAGGAAGTCCTCCACGCTTCCATTCGCCATATGTTCGTAAACCAAGCACCCCCAAGAGCCTCAACAAATGAGGGTGCTGAAGAAATCGCAATCGGTCCACCAAGTCTCTGTCGAATAGGGCTTGCTCCATCTTCACACTGGGTTTCTTTATCAGAACGGGAATCTCTTCGTGGAGTTTGGTAGCATAATACGCACATCCATGCTCCCCTTCGGCGACCTTCATGTTCTCATCGAAGTTGTCCGTTGCAGACCGAAGCCGATTTGGTGAATACTCTCGGAACTCAGTAGGATCCACCATTCGTGAATCCTCACCCAACCCAACCGGCTGCCCCAATACTCGCACTCGAAGGGCCTCGATGCTCAGTTCTCGTTCCAATTGTTGTATCTTGTGCTGCTGCTCCGTAGATGCCCCTTCCATCTCTAATATCTTGGCCTCCATCACACTTGCCTCAGCCTCCAACATGTGTATTTTCTCTATCTGCTCCCATGCTTCTTTTTCGCTACGTTCTAACGATGCTGCCAACTCTTGGATCTTCTGCTTCCATCCCTCACGTTCCTCCTTCATCGCACTCGTCTCAGCTTCCAGCTGTAGGATCCTCTCTGCTTGCAGTCTTGCTCCATTTGTCCTCTGCTCTAAAGTTGCCGCCAACTCATTCGCCTTCTGTTTCTGTCTCTCTGAATCCTGCTCCATCTCTAATGTCCTAGCTTGCCTCACCCTCGCCTCAGACTCCAGCCGCTGGATGCTCTCTGCATGCAACCGTTCTGCTCTATTGCTGGCCTCTAAGGATTCAACCAACTCCTCTTTCTTCTGCTTCTCTTTCGCAGCTTCATCCTCCAAGTGGAATATCATTGCCGTTGCCATGCTCGCCTCATCTTCCAGCTCTTGGATCCTCTTTGATTGCAGTGCTGTTGTTCTTTGGCTTTCCTCTAAAGAAGCAACCAGCTGTTCCGTCTTCTGCCTGTCTTTCTCAGACTCCTCTTCCAGCTCCGCTATCCTTGCCTGCATCAAACTCTTTTCAAACTCCTGAGACTGAATCTTGTCTTCTTGCTGTCTTGCTGCTCTTCTCCTGAGCCCTAAGGAGTCATCCATCGCCTCCTGTGCCCACGTTTCCTTCTCAGATGCCTGTTGGAGTAACACCTCAGAGTCTGTCGTTTCCTCCCCCGTCCATGTTGTCACTGATATCATGGGAGAGCTCGCATTTGTGGTCACCACACCCATGGTATCTGTGTCATCTCTCTCGTATTCTCCCCAAACCACCTCCACCACGGAGAACTCTGCCCTACCTCCAACGACAAGCACATTGGAATTGGGACAGGGAGCCAGGCTGCAGACTTCCTTCAAACCAGAATCCGAATGCATAACTTGCTCGTAGTTTTCTGACTTGTAGTCCTTCCATGCAGCGATCTTTCCATCACTCGAGGAAGCAAATATATATGGAAAGCAAGGATGAACGAAGAGCGAGCTAATGCTTCCATTCAGTCCTACCAGCGTGGACAACTTAGATCCGTCCTCGTAATTCCAGACCTCTATCGCTCCCACCCAAGATCCCGCAATCAGTAGATGCTTCTCGTGATTGCTGCTGGCAAATTGAAGAGTCGTCATCTCATACTCCGCTTTGAGTGTCTTTATCAGAGCACCTTTCGTGCCATTCCATATCATAATTTGCCTGCTACTTGAGGCACTGGCGAAGACGACCTGCCCCTGCGGATGAAATGCTACTGCCCTCCATTCTCCAGACGGGCATTTAAACGATTTAACTGACCAGCTCTCACTCCAATTCCATAGCTTAATATGCTTCTTGGAATAGGTGATCACATACGATAAGCTAGGATGAACAGCCATATCCTCGACCCGACTCTGATGTGCTGTCATGTGCTTGACTCGCGTCCACTCGAAGCTGGGTGTTTGGACTCGACGCATCACAATTGACTTCTCATTCCTCAGCAGAATAAACGGATGTTCATCGCGTACAACAAATTTGACTGCTTCCCACAAGCCCAGAGGCTCAGCAATGTCCCAAGCCGTGATTCGCTTCCCTTCTGCGTAGTTCCACACTTGGATTGACCTTTGCTGAGCTATGAAGATGATCCAAGGTTTAGAAGGGTGCACGTCAATGTACAAGCAAGTACTGTCACCAGGTGCACCCACCCAAATGTCTTGTCTTCTGATGCGAAACTTCTCTTGAAGTCCCACAGCCAGGCCAGGTTCCCCACTGCAATCCCCCATGATCCTTGTTGTCAAACCCTCACTCCCTCCAACTATTACCCCCCTGCTCCCCCTTCCCCCGTGCCCCCTCCCCCCCCCCCCCCCCCCCCCCCCCCCCCCTCCCCTCTGCTCTGGAAAGCCTAAAAGTTTTTGTGGTTGATGTCAGTTGTCTACTTTCTTTTGTCTTTTTTTGAGGTTCTTCTCCCCGGGCCCGTGTCCCCACCAATCCAAGGAGCCTCCCCAAGGGTTGAAAAACAAAAAGAAAAAAAGAAAAGAACTTGTCCACTTGTCTAATATGGCTTCTCTGACCCTTCTCTTTCACCCTCAGACTCTCAGCGTGCATCTGACTGCTATTACGTCCGTTCTGGCATGCATCTGACTGCCATTACGTCCGTTCTGGCATGCATGCATCTGACTGCTATTACGTCCTGGCAGGTGACTACAGTTAAACGACCGATCTGGCATGCATCTGACTGCTATTACGTCCAGGGATCAATTCAAGAGATCCTGGTGTACGTACACCTGCACTCTCCTCCAAACTGCTTCGTGAATCCACCACCAAGCTCTGGAATAAGTTCCCTGCCAAAGCCAAACACATAAAAAGTCTATCAGCTCCCACCGTCTCCCACCCGCACCTCCCCGCCTACTACATCCCCCCAACTGTGCAGATTTTGACAGAGTGCTGATAGGTGTCCACTTGCTGGAAGGAAATCTCGGCTCGGTGGAAGCTCTCGAATAAGTTCAAGGCCAAAACTAAACACACATGAAAGTCTAAATTTGAAGCTCCGATGCTCTTCCACAGTTGCCTCCCCACCTACATTACCCCCCCCTCTCCCCCCCCCCCCCCCACACACACAACCAAAGCAGAATTTGACAGAATATTGATGGGTGGGTGCCCACTTACTGGAAGGAAATCTCTGCTCAACACAGCGGGCGAGAAGTCTGTGTTCCATGCATCAATACCTTGTGAATCATTTCATGGTTGCTAAAGAACCCTTCTTCAGGAAAACTGAGTACCGGATTGGCAGCAGGGTCATTATGGGGCTGCAGCTGATTATCCCAGTAACTGTTGTCGTCAACAAACCTTCGCGTTGCCAACTTGCCAGAGCATGCAGTGATCCTGCACATGACTGATTGAGTCGCACACAGTGTGAGAAGCTGCTGGAGATGCATCTGCAATAACTCAGCTCAAAAACATGGATCAGTCGTGGGCTAAGGGTCGTCATTTTGAGATAGGGGTCATCAAACGGCCACGCCCAAGTCATGAATACTGCCTGAACGACGGCCTGCTATTGTGGGGTACCCGAACCCAGGCCTAAAACTGGCCTTCCAAGGTCCAACACGACAATTGACTGTGGAAAGTCAAAGGTCAACAGCAGCTCGGAAATTCAGGTTCACGAGTCACAGTCAACATGGACCCAGTCCAGGCCGCCGATCAAGCACACGCACTTGGCTGTCTGTCTGTAGGTATCAGTCAAGGATCAAGTCCAAGTGGGAATCTGTAACTGCATGGATCCTGGCCATTGGCTGCGAGACAATCTGGGCCACCGTACCTGAGAGAACAGAGGCTGGTCAACCGGAGTCAACACTACATATTGACCCAGCCCCTGCTGACCGACAGTCAGTCTTGCACTTGCTGCTTGACGCTGGCTTGACGCTGGCTTGATGCTGGCTCTACGCTGGCTGAACGCTGGCACTACGCTGGCTCGTCGCTGGCTCTATGGTGGCTTGATATTGGACAATGAGGCGAGACTGCTATTGCTTTGTGGTGGCGCCTTCCTCTGTCTACGGCGCCAGCTGGATACCTGACTATGTTGACGTGGCTCTCGCCACACTATCTACTACATTGCTGGGATACTGGAGAGGAGGAGGAGGAGGATCGGGGCTGTGAGGTTGGTTGAATCTGAGGAAAGCTTACCTGTCTGCGTTCGTGTCTACATTGTGCATTGATGATCGTCATCAGAAGTCGTCTGCACTTAGTAGGCGTCATGATGAGATCTGTTCGTTGTCAGTGTACGTCAGAGAAGACTGTCTGCTGACGGGGCAAGTGGGAGATGCCCGAAGAGGAAGTGGGCCTGAGAGGGAGATCTATCTGCCATGTTGATGGACACTTTCTCTTCCACCCTCTTACGTCTGATCTCCCTCCCATCAGCCTCTTCTCTGGTGACTTGACATTGGACTACTTGATTACTTGTACGATTTTGGAGACATTGTAACTGCTGCGCTGAGACGTACTGTTTTCGACATTGACGAGCTTCTCTCCTGGTTGGGTTCATTGTGCTTCTCTCATCCGCTTTTCGGGTCTTTATTCCAACAGTTTAGGGGTCTACTGACTGAGTTCGGAATCGTTCAAAGAGAGCAGCCATAATTACATACACTCTTGAATGTCAATTATTTTGTGTGTTTCTGCCTTTGGAAAATGAACCTAAGTTTGTCACGTACTATTCTTTAATGACAATCAGAGACTACCCCCCAACGCCCCCTTCATGAACAGGGGGGTCCATGGCCGGGCCCCTGTTCACCCTGTCACGGCAGCCATGAATGCCCGGCCGTGACTGTGTGAACTCGGGTACAGCAGAAAATTTCACCCCCCAAAATGCCCAAAAGCCTGGCAAAAGGGCCAAAGCAAAAAAAATTGAAAAAAAACAAAAAAACAGGGGGCTGCGCTTACATATGAGCTACCCCACTATATCGTTTTTGCAACTTTTTAGATTTTTCTTCCCTGATTTACTATTTTTTTAAATAAAAAACAAAGCAAAAATGTCCTTTGGGACATCTATTAAAATTGGAACCATACACAGAAAATTTAAAATTGAAACCATACACAGAAAATTTAAAATTGAAACCATACACAGAAAATTTGCAAGGCCCCATCAGAGCCAGCACAACGATCCAGCAGGTGAAGCTCCTCACCAATAGACTGGAGCAGCCAGCGAGAGTCTCACTAGAGAAGGATGCTCTTATTAGCTTCCCTAGTGAGCCGAGGCTTTTCGAAAATAAAAAATAAAGAAATGGACGATACGCATAAACAGAGAAATGGTCCCCCCTCCCAAAAAAAAAGAAAAAAGGCCCTGGACGGGCCGGGGGGGGGGATTAAAACATTTAAAAAAATTGCACGACCTGTGCAGTGCACAGCATTCATAACGAATCGGGCCCATTATGTGGGCCACATTCAGAATGTATCTGGATAGCCAACACCTCAGAGGGTTCATCTCCATTCTGGGGTTTTGGTCTGTGTTTCATGTTTCTTTCCCACTGAGGCCAGCCACAGAGTTGTGGGACCCATTCCGGCACCCTGATAACAGCGTAGTTGAACTCTCATGGTTTGGGGGGCGGTGAATAGGACCATGGAAATCATACATATAGGGGAGCCAGCTAGGGGTTCAATGTGCAAGCAGGCTACTAAACCTATTAAGCTGAAGAGGCTGGGACCCCTATTGAGTAGATTCTCTTATTAGATGAATGATCACACCTGTCAAGCACATCAAAAGTCAGTGGATTTCATGTAAATAGTGGGACAGTAGACGTTTCCAGCAGGTGCCGGTCCCCACCAATAGGTTTGAGTCTTCCTTACTGCAACCCTCAATCTACAGTAGGTGATTCTCTCACCCCCTCCTGGATATTAGAGGGAATGCAGACTGATGTTTTTCTTTTGAAACAAATGTGGCCTTGGCAGGTTTTGAGTTCTGAAAGCTTAGGCAGAAAAATGAAACGGTTTCACCCAGTTGACCTGGTACTGCAGTCACAGAGATTCGATCCCTAGACCTGTGCCCTAACCCTGTACACAGATCCCGTGTGCTGAGTGAGATTTGATCCCTAGACCTGTGCCCTAACCCTGTACATTGACCCTGTGTGCTGAGTGAGATTCGATCCCTAGACCTACCCTGTACCTGTACATAGACCCCGTGACCTGAGTAGGATTCGATCCCCAAACCTGTCCTTAGGTTAGTCTGTAGTTTGGTCAGTAGGACTTGATCCCTAGGTCTGTAGATTAGCAGCTAGGTCTGTTACCAATAGGCCTAGAAAGCCTGTTCTAGAAGTCTCTACTGAGTCTGTCGAAAGTCTGTAGAGTCTGTAGGTTCTAGAAGTCCGTAGGGTTCTGTAGGGGGGTCCAGCCAGCATATACCTGGGTAAGGGCTGCACGTGGGGAAGGTTCTGGAGCATGCAGAGAGTTCCACACGTTTTGGCCCAGAAGGCCAAACGTCTGGAAGCTT